TTCTTTTGATAAGTTGCCAAACTTTGTCTCTACCTAACAGTTGAAGTAATCTGCACCAAACTCTTTTGACATGACAATAAACACCAACATCTAGTGGTTGTAGAATGTGTGAGCTCAGTTTTGGTTTAAACTCATAACTTTTTTTCCTAATTAGCAAATTTAATTTTGAAAAAAGATTTTTAATCAGAGTAAAAAGTTCAGTAAATAAGTTCAATGAATTTAATTTCAGTAAATAAGTTCAATGAATTTAATTTCAGTAAATAAGTTCAATGAATTTAATTTCAGTAAATAAGTTCAATGAATTTAATTTCAGTAAATAAGTTCAATGAATTTAATTTCAGTAAATAAGTTCAATGAATTTAATTTCAGTAAATAAGTTCAATGAATTTAATTTCAGTAAATAAGTTCAATGAATTTAATTTCAGTAAATAAGTTCAATGAATTTAATTTCAGTAAATAAGTTCAATGAATTTAATTTCAGTAAATAAGTTCAATGAATTTAATTTCAGTAAATAAGTTCAATGAATTTAATTTCAGTAAATAAGTTCAATGAATTTAATTTCAGTAAATAAGTTCAATGAATTTAATTTCAGTAAATAAGTTCAATGAATTTAATTTCAGTAAATAAGTTCAATGAATTTAATTTCAGTAAATAAGTTCAATGAATTTAATTTCAGTAAATAAGTTCAATGAATTTAATTTCCGAGAGGTTTTAAGTTCCTTTTTCAAACAAATAAAAAAAATCTTATTACGCATTCAAATTTATAACAAAATTTTTTTTAAATTAAAAAATAAAATTTTATACAATCTAACTCAGAAAAATATTCTCTACAATATAATCAAAAAATATTCACAAAAAAATTATTCAATAGTTAAATAAAAGTGAAAGAATAAACATTGTCATTTTGTTCTACCCGCTATTTCATTTTACCCTGGGTTACTCTATTCTTTTCTTTTTTGATAACAATTTATGCTTATGTTGATAAATAAATTTTGTTAACAATATGGGCTTCCTTTTTAATAATAGCTCCTCCCCATTTGAACATTTAAAAGTTCTATTTGAAATCTTCATTAAATATGTTTAACTTAAATTTATTGTTTTTTTTATGAAGGTAAATATACAAAGTTTTTGTAACTTTCATTTAATTTTTAGGATTTTTTGTATAGAGAGTGTTTTCTCCATAATAATATTTTAATGTTTTATATATATAATACATACACACATAGTTTTTCTGCATTGTATTTTCGACTTTTTTTTTAGAATATTAAATATATATATATAAAAAAAATTCAAGTAGTTTCAATACTTTCAAGTTGTTTCACTTGAAGCAAATATATGATTGTTTTTAGAGGTTTTTATTATTAGTTTTGAATTTACTTATTTATTGCAAATCTTGCATTAATTGCGTTTCAAAGTAACGAAAGGGATTTTATGATGGAGAATTACATTTTACTGTTCAATGATAACAGTACTTGCTGAGCAGACAGGCCTTATAATTTTTTCAATTTGCTTTATTTATGAGTTTTTATCTGTAAAATTTAAAAATTTTTACAGATAAAAACTCATAAATAAAAAAAATTGAAAAAGTTATATTTTTTAAATTTAAAAAAAAAAAATTAAAAAAATTAAATTTTTAAAAATTACTTTTTATTGCTTTTTGAATAAATAGTAATAATATTTTGTCAATTATCAATAAATATATAACATTACTCAGTTAAAATGATTATATTAATTTATTTATAACTTTATTTTATATAACTTTAGTTTTTGATAGAAATATGTTATCTTTACACATTGCAATATTATTTTAAAACATCTAATTTAAATGACTAATAGTAGAGGTAGAATAAGATAAGATTATTTTTTTGTTCTATTTGCTTACATTTTATTTTAGATAAGTTTAAGAAAGAAAACTAAAAGTTTAGTCTGAAATTAAAAGTTCAATTTTTATTTTTTTATTATTTTTAGACATTCCTTTGATGCTTAATCATGTCTGATAGTTTAAGAAGTCAAATTATTAGACTTTGTCAAAATGAAAGAAACCAGGCTAGGCAAGATGAATTGAACCGTTGTCAAAATGAAAAAGATAGGGCAGTTAAATTAAATTGTCATAAAAATGTTAGAAATCAGATTAAACGATAACTCAATAGGTATAATATGCATCGCATAGCAAAAAATAATATTGCTATAGAGAATAACTACCTTTCAGAAAAAACCATATTCATCAGTATTGTTGTGCAAAGAAGTTTTTAAATGAAAATTATTTTTGTGCTGCCATTCAGAAAGAGTTGTATTAGTTCTTCTTTCTTTATATTCACCATTAATGATTTTATGACAGGAAATCATGCTACTGCTGTTACTCATTTGTGAGTGTTTGACAAAGAGTTTTTTAGAGAATATTTATTACCCTTGGCTATATAATATTTCACTTTATATTTTTGACCATGCAATGAGGTATTCTTAAATCTTTATTATCTTTATTTAATCCATTAATATCTGTTTAATCAGTTATAGGATCTAAAAACTTTACATTAGATAATAATTTAATACAATCATACCTTATGTTATTTCTAAATCAACCTTAAAAGTCAGGCAATTTAATTACCTGGACTTTAAAAGTTGGTTTAAAAATAACATTAGGTATGAATTTCAAAGTAGTCACGTTTAGTCAGTTTTAGTCAAGTTTAGTCAGTTAATTTGTTTTAATAATAAAACTATTTAAGCCCTTTGTCAGTTGCATTTAAAGTATATTAATCTGTGGTTTTTATCTTTAAAAACTCAAAGATGATACTCATTTCAATGGTCAATGTTGAATGTTCAAGAATCGATTAATCGCTTATTTTTTTAAATTGATGAACTTTCATTACAAGGTATGTATTTAATAAAATTACAAGGTATATATTTAATAAATGCTACGCAAACAATGCTGTATTTCACACAACCTGTTCTATGTAGCATTTTCCAGAACCAACTTGTTTGATCATTTGTTTTTTATATTTGATAAACACGCAGTTCAAAGTATGTCATTGAACGAATATTATGCAAATGTTGTTATTTTATACAAATGCTGCTATTAATTTATAGTTTTTGATAAGTATTTTTATGTGGTAATGTGTGTTTTTATAGTGTGTAATATAAAGTTATATGGGTTGACATTTTGCAAGCATTTCTGTGTGTGTTAATGTAGTTAAAGTATGTATAATAAACTTAATAACCCTTAATAACTTAAACTAATTTTAAACTTTCAGTTAAGTCTTTATTTATGGATTATACTCCCAATAACTCTAACATTTTCTAACAAGGTAATGTTTTTGTCTCTTGGAGGTTTGAGTAATTGAGAGTTTACTGTAATATGTTTTGTTGTTTGTTAATTTTGTGATATTATTATTGTTTTGTTTTGTGTTGATAGATGACTTGGTTTACCTCCATGTCATTGTCTATAGTTAAAAATGATTATTGGGTAGTTTCAATACTGAAACTGACTACATAAAATCATTCTCTAAAAGCTAAAGATTTATTTTTCAAATAAAAACATAAAAGTTTATCTTATTGTGATTATTTATTTTTAGTCTTGCTTTTTTTAAAAAGTGTTGTTAATCTAAACTTGCAACAATAAATCTTAAAATTTTCACAAATAAAAAACAACCTCACAAAGTAAGCTTTTTATTTGTTATTTGTTAAGTCATATTTTTGAGTTTTCAAACACATTATGTGTAGGTGTTTCAAACACATTATGTGTAGGTGAGTTTTCAACACATTATTATGTGTAGGTGAGTTTTCAACACATTATGTGTAGGTGTTTCCAATAATAATAGGTGTATCCAATAGTAATTTTGTTCCATTTTTAGGTCAAATTCCTTCTCTTATGACAGATTTTTGAAAGTTCCAACATAGCAGATTTTAAGAAACGTTCTGAATGTCAATTGTTTTCCAAAAGCCAAAACAAAGTTTCTATGATCTTCATATCATTTACTAAAAGCTATATAATAATGAAACAATGTTATTAATTAAATGGCTTTCATAAGTATATTTGATACAAAATATATTTTTTATGTTGAATATATATATTTTTTGTAATTTTTTTTTAAAGTTTTTATTTTTATTTTATCTCAAGAAAATTTTTTTTTTGGTTATCAAATAAATTTTATTATTTTTTTTATTTTTGGAATTATTATTTTGTATGTATATTATGGCCATTTTTGCTTTGTTTTTTTATATTTTCGTTATAATTTGATACATGAATGGAAACCATTTATACTTTTTATCAGTTTCCATTTGCATTAAATATCGATTTTTGGCTGAAACAGCAGGTATAATAATTAATTTGCCAAACTAGGCTTTAAACAGCCTAATTAAATGAATGACATTAATACAGCCTAATGAAAAGAATTTGTTTGTTTAGAGTCTTTTTTACAATAAAGCTTTTATAAAAATATAAAGCAGATAAAGCTGACTGATTTAAAATAACTAGGCCCCTTAGGCCCATTTTCTGTGTCCATACTTTCTTTTTAAATAAATGAGAGGGTTAAAGTTTTATTTTTGCCTACATTTCCAAATATATTTGAAAAATGTTGCGCAACTGCCTTTTACATTTAAGATACTTTTATCATACTAAAGATTTTGAAGTTATTAAGAACAGTTTTAAGGTATAGCAAACTGATAACCAAAAGCAAATCAACACAAAAAATATCTTTAAATCAAAACTTTTTATCGCTAACTAAAATTTATTGAAGTATAGGGACCAAATTAAGAACAAGTCAAGAAATAGTCGGATGTGGAACAGACTTACCGTGACCCGTATTATAAGGGTCTTGATTGCTAGTATTTATTAATAATATTATGTAATGTTGTACTACCAACATAACAATAGTAGTATTAAAATATAAAAAGAGCAACTGGTTAGAAACATTAAAAACTTTAATGTAACCATAGATTTTTTATACTAAATTTTTTTAAATGACAATAAAAATAAAAATAAATTATAATATAAAACAATTACCTTTTCAGCTTCAACTTTTTGTGTTAAACCTCCCTCAATCATTTTTGCAAGTGTTTTCTCTTTACTCTGAGCTTGACGAGCCAACTTGGCACTTCCATGACCAAATCGAGCAATATAATCCTAAGTAATATCGTTACAAATCATTTCTATTAAAAAATATATATACCATAATACTAAATATAATAAATAACACACACAAAGGAAATTATTAAATCAAGATTGTACACAACTTGTAACACTAGGTAATAAAAAATAACAGCTTTAATAAAAGTTTATTAAACCTTCATATGTGCTATCTCTTCCTGCTCTCGTTTGTATGCCTTCATTTGATTTTCTTCTAACTCAGCTCTAGTTGTGATGTATTGATCAAAGTTACCCTAAAAATTAGGCATTGATTAAATGTAAAAAAATAAAGTTAAAAAAAAAGGTAAGATAAAATATATATACACAAGCTTAGCCAGGAAGGAGATTTCATTTCATAATATGACCACACAAATAATATTTGATTTTGAAAACTTGACAGCGACTATTAATATGTAAAAACACGCTGAAAAAATCATCTTAACTGTAAAGGAACTTAAAAAAAAACTTTTCATGAAAGAAGCAAGTAAATTTTCGTAAAAAAATAACTTAAAATAAAATAAAAATAACTTAAAATGATAAAATAAAATAAAAATAATAAAAACTAAAATAAAAAAATCAAACTAAAACCTAATAAAAATAAATAATAAACTATAACGATTATCTAAATTACGTTAACAATAAATAACTTTGAAATATCTCTAGAAATGTTTTTATAATATAATATTATGCCAAAACCATTTAAAAGTTTAAAAAAAAACATTTTTAAAAGTTCTTTGCAGTAACAAAAACAAAAGAAAAATTAATTAATTTGTTTATTTAAAAGTTCATATAATTTTTTTTTTAATTTAAAGATAATTATAAAAAACAAAAATTCTTATATATATATATATATATATATATATATATATATATATATATATATATATATATATATATATATATATATATATATTATTCATTACTTTTATAAAAAATCATTGGCAGTGATTTGCTCCTTTATTTAAACACATCTCAATAATATAAAATCAAAAGTAAAGAACAAAGTTATTAAATTCAAACGACATTCAAAAAAGCTTGTCTTTTTTTTCTCTTCTCAACAAAAACTTCTTAATTAAAGTTTATTAAAGAGCTGTTTAAAGTTATCTTGTATAAAATTTTATTTTTTCTTTATTAATTTTTACCTTTATTATTTTACTTATAAAAAATTAGGGTTCCTTTTTAAAAACACAATTTTGGAAAATTTTTGATTAAACTTCTTGACTCGATTTGATTTAAATTGATTAAACTTGACTCGATTTGATTTAAATTGATTAAACTTCTTGACTCGATTTGATTTATTTTGATTAAACTTCTTGACTCGATTCATGGGTTTTGCTTGTGTCTCTGTTTTTATGACTAGGCAACTCATTCTATTATCTCCAAATGAGGGTACAGCCTAAAACTCAGTTTTATGGTTCTGTAGCCGGCTGGTAGTCAGGTTTCCCGAACTCTGTGGTAGCTCTCAGAGAGGCTGATTCCATCAACAGCTGAAAAATATCAGAGTACTAACAGTGCCATGTTGCGCATGGATGGTGTCCCTGTTTGTGCTTTTGGTGTGCATTGCCAAAGCCACATTGAAGCCCTTTGTTACGGCTTAGGGTTTATTAGTGGAAATGAGGCAATTGCTTGACTATAGAACAGTGTACTGAGTACTATCAATGTTTCGAGTCAAGTTCTTTAACAAATTTAAAAATGAATAAAGTAACAAAAACTATAAAACACAAAAAACCACAGTCATCACCAAGTTCGCTAAACCTATCATTCACCAATATTCGTGGTCTTCGAAGTAACTTTTCTACTGTTGAGTCTTATCTCTTGCAAAGTTCACCAGACCTACTTGCTCTTTGTGAGACTAATTTGAGTTCAGCTGTCTCATCTTGTGATCTTAGTGTTGATACTTATCTTCTTTTAATTCGTAAAGACTCCAATAGTCACATGCTTGGCCTGGGCATTTACATTCGTAAGAATTCACCCATTTATCGGGAAACTAGGTTTGAATCCACAGACTACTCTTTTATGTGCTTTCGTTTAGCACCACTTCACTCTATCACCTTTCTCTTTGTTCTATATCGCTCTCCCTCATCCCAAGACTGCACTCTTCTTGATGTTATTTCTGATTATATTGACCAAGCCCTCATTCTTTATCCATCAGCCAATATTGTTGTTGTCGGTGACTTTAATGTTCATCACACTGAATGGCTTGGCTCTAGTGTCAGTGACTCTGCAGGCATTAAGGCCCACAACTTTTGTCTTTCTCAATCCCTAACTCAAATAGTCAACTTTCCAACTCGCTTTCCAGACAACCCGAATCATTTACCTTCTCTACTCGACTTATGTCTTGTTTCTGATCCTAGTCAGTGTTCAGTTTCTTCACACTCACCCTTAGGTGCGTCTAATCATGGTTAGGTCTCTCTAAAACTATTATCTCATTCTTCTTTACCATTAAAATCCCCCTATCATTGTACATCTTACAACTACCTTAAAGCTGACTGGGACTCTTTTCGTAACTTTCTTCGTGATGGCCCCTGGGTAGAAATCTTTCGTCTCCCTGTTGACAAATGTGCTTCTTACATAACTTTGTGGATTCAGGCTGGCATGGAATCCTTTATTGCCTCTCGACGATTCCAGGTCAAGCCTCACTCTTCCCCATGGTTTTCCTCACATTGTGCTGCTGCAATTGCCAATCGAAACCATTACTTCCATATCTATCAGCAAAACAATTCTCCAGAAAACAGAAGTCTCTTTATTACTGCTAGGAACCATTGTAAAAAGGTTTTGTCTAACGCCAAAATTCTCAGATCAAGAAATCTCGTATTTCATCACAAAAATTAGGCTCTCGTGACTTCTGGAGAATCTTTAATAGTATCAATAATAAGGGCAAGTCTGTAATTCCACCTCTTTTGTACGGTTCAGACTTTGTCACCTCACCTAAAGACAAAGCTGAATTGTTTGCCAAGAACTTTTCATCAATATCATTTCTTGATTCCACTAATTGCGTTTTACCTGATATACCCGTCAAACAGGTTGATCCATTGCTTGACATTCACATCACTCCAGTTTCTGTATCTAAAGTGATTTCCCTCTTAGACTCTTCTACAGCTTGCGGCCCGGACAACATACCTGTTATAGTCTTGCAGAAGTGTTCTCCTGAGCTGTCGTCTATCTTTTCAAAACTATTCAACAAGTGCTTATCAGAGTCTTGTTTTCCAGCCTGCTGGAAAGCAGCATTTGTTGTCCCTATTTTTAAAAAATCTGGAGAGCGATCTGACTCATCAAACTACTGTCCCATTAGTCTTCTTCCTATCATAAGCAAGGTTTTTGAATCTTTAATTAACAAACACTTAATCTCGAATCTCGAATCTCATAACCCACTTTCTGATCATCAGTATGGATTTCAATCTTCTCATTCTACGGCTGATTTGCGATCAGTAATAACCGATAGGTTTTATCGCCCATTAGATAAAGGTGGAGAGGTTAAGGCCATTGCTCTTGACATTTCTAAAGCGTTTGATAAAGTTTGGCATCCTGGTCTCCTCCATAAGCTTTCTGCTTATGGTGTATCTGGAAACATCTTTAAGATTATTGAATCCTTCCTTTCCAATCATAGTATAAAAGTTGTCCTCGATGGACAGCACTCTTCTTCTTATTCTGTAACCTCAGGGGTTCCCCAAGGTTCAATCCTTGGCCCTATACTCTTTTTAATTTACATTAACGATCTTCCAGATATTCTCACATCTAAGGTGGCATTGTTCGCTGATGATACTACCATTTATTCTTGTCACGATAAGAAGCCAACTCCCTCTGATTGCTTGCAGGGGGCATCTGAGCTCGAAAAGGATCTCACTTCTGCTACAGCATGGGGCTCGCATTGGCTGGTGAACTTTAATTCAGATAAAACTCAATTTTTTTCGGCAAATCGTTATCGCAAAATTTAGACCTTCCTATATTTATGAACGGTAATGTACTCGATGAGTCTCCTACCCTTCATCTTCTAGGATTAACTCTTACTTCTGATCTTTCTTGGAAACCTTATATCAAATCCGTTGCAAAATTAGCATCTGCTAAAGTTGCTTCTTTTTATCGAGCTCGTCACTTTCTTACTCTGGATTCTATTCTCTATCTCTATAAATCTCAAATCTGGCCTTGTATGGAATACTGTTGCCATATCTGGGGCGGATCTTCTAATGATGCCCTTTCTCTTTTAGACAAGGTGCAAAAATGCATTGTAAACATAGTTGGATCTACTCTTGCAGCCAACCTTCAACCTCTGTCACATCGTTGTAATGTTGCTTCTCTTTCTCTTTTCTACAAATACTATAATGGGCACTGCTCTAAAGAGCTAGTGTCTCTTGTACCATCTACTAAAATTCATTCTCGTGTTACTTGTCATTCAATTAAGTCTCATCATTTTTCTGTTACTGTTCCTAAGTGCTCCAAAAACTCTTATTTGTCTAGTTTTTTCCTCGAACATCAGTTCTTTGGAATTCGCTTCCTTCATCTTGCTTTCCTGATTCATATAATTTTAATTATTTTAAGTCGTCTGTCAATCGTTATCTTACAATCTTCATCTTTTCTTTTCCAGTAACTTCCAACACTAATTAGTGGTTGCTTGCAACCTTGTTGGAAGCAAAGATAATTAAAAAAAAAAAAACATTATTAATTAATTACAAACTTTTTTTTCGGATTTTGTAAAAACTTTTGAAAACTATTGAAAAGCTAAAATAATTTTGAAAACTTAAATTTAATTTTGAAAACTTATTTTAATTTTGAAAAAATATATAATATACTAAATTAATTTTGAAATTTAAGTTGAATTATGAAAAGTTAAATAAACTTCGAACAAAAAAAATAAAGAGTTTTAAAAAGTTAAATTAGTTTCGGAAAAAAAAAAACCATTTCCATTTCCTAAATTATTTCCTAAAAAATTTTGTACTAAGGTAAATAATTTTAGATAATTTTTAAGTAAAAAAGTCATTTTTAAATGTAAAATATTAAATATATTTACAACTAAAATTAAATTATTGAAAAATAATAATAATAAATAAATTGCATCTAAAATTTAATTTTATCAAGTTGATTTTAGAAGTACGTAGTAAATGTAATTTTTAAAAGTAATTTACATGAGTGATTAACATAAAAAAGTTACTCATAACTGGAAATTAAGTCATAAAAAAGTTATTCAGATGTTACTAATACAAATAATTTTTATTTTTTAACTTTAATACATCTTATCATCATTGTTTTTTTCTTATGGTTTGTACTGCTGGTGTTCTCCTGCAATTGTTAAATGATTTAGTTTTTAAAATATTTTTTATCACTATAAAAACTTTATCATTGCGATCAATGACGGATCCAGGATTTTTTGGTGTTTGAGATAGCTAACTTCCAGACATGGAGCAAACTCCAAACATTTGTATGTTTCTACTTATGTCAAATAATGATGCTTTGCAAAAAATTGCAATGATTGGAGGCTGGGACAAAAAAAGCCCTTTAACTTCATTCCAGCCCCTAAACATCCCCCCCCCCACTCCAAACGTGAGAGGCACCAAGTTGATAAAATATTTTTTGTACTTTTCTCAACTAGACTAAGTTTCATAGTATTATTTCTCAGCGTTCAAAAAATGTGGCCATATAAAATTTGTAATCCCCTCAAATTGATGGGGGAGGGGGGTTACAAATGATAATAGTTAGCCCTAATAAAAATTTCATCAAAACAATTCTCAAAATCTCCTACTCTTTTTAAATATGAATGAACATTGATGGCTAAATGTAGTCAAGACCGGAGTCAAGAGTGTGTGGGAGGAGTGTGGGATGAGTATAGGAGGGGGACATATCTCCATTCAATAAATTAGTCAATAAATTGGAACCTTTTTTTAGATTTGTCAAAATAGGCATTGGATATTTATCATACATCAGCAAATGAGGAAATAAGAGGCCTTTTTTTTTTTTTTTTTTGGTGGATTTCATAAAAGTTTCATAAGGGTTTCAGTTTTATTTTGTAAGAATTTTTAGTATCATCCTTATATATATGTACATATATATATATATATATATGTACATATATATATATATATATATATATATATATATATATATATATATATATATATATATATATATATATATATATATGTACATATATATATATATATATATATATATATATATATATATATATATATATATATAGATATATATATATATATGTACATATATATATATATATGTACATATATATATATATATGTACATATATATATATATATATATATATATATATATATATATATATATATATATATATATATATATATATATATATATATATATATATATATATATATATATATATATATATATATATATCATCTATATCTCAAAATGCAATAAGCAAAAAACTCTGCTTTATACATCTTACATCGTTATTACGATAATGGTCTATTCACACGTTTTTTTTCATAATAAAGAGTAACTTCTTAACTTCATTTTCAATATTGAAGGTAAGTTTCTACATTTCATTTCTGCACAAAATTTATTTTGCTTCAAAAGTTCAATTTTACTGCGCTCGCAGTAAAATAAATTTTTTATTGCTAAAAACTTTCTACATTATTTTCCATATATATATTTAACATTCCATATATATATTTAACTTTTTTCCAGATTTCTTGTTTTTCATATTTCACCGTACATTTACGTTAGCGGTTTTGTTGAAAATTTGTTAGTTTATTTTAATTTCTTTATTTTCTATCAAGTATAAAAACTCAATTTGTTATCAACAAATTTTTATTAAATAGAAATCTGGCACACATCGATATCAGTATTAAAAAAAAATAATAAAAAAAAAAAAATATATATATATATATATATATATATATATATATATATATATATATATATATATATATATACACACACACATAACAATAGGTGTAACCATATAGTCATGATCGTGACATTTCCGCTGAAGATTTAAAAATAAGCAATAAAACTAATATTTATAAATATGTATGTATCTTTGGTTGCGTACTGCCTTGACACCTTTTAGCCACACAATAAAAACATGTTAAAACAAAAAAAAAAAAGTTAGCATCAACTCTACAGAGTTTATGCAAACTTTCACTCTGTAGTTGTATCACTATGCTAAAACGCTAGCCTAAACTAAAAAAAAGTTTAAAAAATATGGCAGAAAAAGTTTTTTAAACGTTTTGAATTACTGTGTTATAAGGAAAACTGTAATAGTTTTGAAAAAAATTCAAAAAAATATATATATATAGAAAGAAAAAAGTTAACCCTTTTCTTTCCCGATATTTGAAATTAAAAAAAAAATTACAATCACATTGAATATTTTCAAAAAACAATTGCGAATCTGCAAGTTCATTTTTAAATTGCACATGCAGCTACCTAGTAAGAAGTAGCAAAACTTAAGCTTAAAAAATTAAAATTAAAAAAAGATAAAACAGGACTTAATTTTTGAATTTAAAGTTTGTGTTGCCAAATTGGGAAAGGCAGGGTTAAGCTAAGGGAAGCTGGTGCAATCGCACTCAATCATTGACCACAGAAATAATATTTAGTTGCGAAAACAGGTGAGATTTTTTAGTCATTTTAAGAACATTTCAAAAACAAACAAAAAAGCACAATAAGATTAACTGGACCGATGAGAGACAGTTAAAAAAAGAAAAATAGTTTTAAACGCGAAAAAACTTTAAGCAAAATAAAAACAATTAGAGCAAATATTTTTGAAACGTTCTTTTATAATTTTTTTTTATAAAATTAAGCTTACTATTAATGCTGTAGCACATAAAAAAGGCCACCAAAATAATACAGTCCCCAACCCTGAAAAATCCAACAAGATTCAACTAACGCTAGATGATTTATCTATAAATATAAAGGTTTTTTCAATAACTATTATATGCTTCGCTTAGTTTGAAAAGTTTAACACATTTGAAACAATTCTTCTTAGTAAGATAAACAAATGAAATAATTAAATCATTGAGTTACTGTAGAAATTCAATTAGCTAGATAGAAATTAACTAAAAACGTTAAATTACTTTGTGAGGAACGCTGATGATGTTTAGTGAGTGGGCTTTATAATTTTAATTAGTATTTAAATTTTAAATAAACTTGCCATACTTAAACTTAAAGTTACTTTTTTCTGTTTTAATTTTAAAACAGAAAAAAGCTTAAGTATAATGAGTTAGTAAGAACGGCTGAAGCAGAAATAATTAAAGTTAGTAAACTAATTTCTAAAAACTTAAAAACTTTTTTTTCTTGGGGGAAAGAATTAGTTATCGCATACACTAAGGAAAATGAATTAATGGTTAAAATTATTTGTAAACTTTAATGATTATTAATAATTTCATTGAAAATGCAGTTATTATTGAAAGTATTTTTGTTTACAAAATCAATAGCACAAATTGCAAAAAAAAGATTACATTTGAATAAAATACACATACATAAAATTACATACATAAAAAATACTTAAATAAAAAATACATACATAAAAATACATTACACACATAAAAAATACATCCCTTATATATAAAAAATAAGAATATACTAATAAGATCTATAATATATTTACAAAACATTGACAAGTTAAAAAATAAAAATTTAAAACATTTATTTTTGTAAACAAATGTTAGTTTAAAATTTTTTTAGCTTTGTAGATGTGGCTCCAAGAATTAAAATAATAGTTCATTTGATAATATATTCTTAAAATAATTTAGGCTAGAAATCTCAACGAAGACATAACAATGATTATGCATTATTCAACTTCGGGGAAAAATATATGTATTTGAGTTTATACATGTTTCCATATATGTCCGTAAAACAAAATATTTCAAAATTTACAATAAAATAATGAACTTAATTATTATTTTGCGGACAAATAAGGAAACATACATAATTTGAATGTTTCAAAACGAATAAAAAATCTGGCCAGTTTTTCGCAACTAAATATTATTTCTGTGGTCAGTTATTGAATGCGATTGTAATTAGAAATCGTTACAAACTTACCGAAACAAAAATAGAGTTTTGAAAAGTTTTTTTTTAATCAAAATTTTTTTTAATTGAAAACTCAACTTTTGCAAGTGACAACACTAAAAAAAATCTTAAATAATTAAATAATATAAATAAAAATATATACAACTTTCAATGATACTTTAATTAGAATCATTAGCTACTTTATTTAAAAGCGTTTTGCTAAAATAAAAACATTAGTAAAGGATAAATGTTTTGAAGTTATTTATCTACAATGTAATTAAAAACAAATTTTCTCAATGCATTTGTTAAAAACCGTGGTTAAATCATCAAAATAAAATATATTTTAGAAAAAAAACAAAGAATGATGAACGAAACTATTGCTGCCCATCCCAAACCCTCAGTCGATGTAGCAGCACTCCACTGCGAGTCAGGCTATTTCAGTATGACGTGTGTGTGTGTATATATATATATATATATATGTGCGTGTGTGTGTGTGTGTGTGTGTGTGTGTGTGTGTGTGTGTGTGTGTGTGTGTGTGTGTTTGTGTGTGTGTATTTTAGATAAAATTTTACTAAATATTAAATTGACTTACTGAGTAACTCATAATTTTTCCTTGAAACATACGCAAAATATTTGTACATACTCCATTAAGAAAATCTTGAGAATGTGATACAAGTACCAATATCCTTTTATATGTTTTAAGTTCCTCTTCTAACCATACGCATGCATCTAAGTCCAAATGATTTGTTGGCTCATCCAACAGAAGAATTGAGGGTTTTACAAACAATGCCCTAGCTAGTGCTACTCTCATTCGCCAACCCCCAGAAAAATCTTTAGTTTTTGTAGCTTGCATCTGGGGTGTAAAACCAAGTCCGTGAAGTAATCGAGATGCTGCAGTTTCAGCTTTGCCAGCTTCTAATTCATCCAGTCTTTCATAAATATCCAGTAACCTTCGAAAAACAATATTTTCAACTTAAAAAATTAAAAAATGTCTTTATAACCTGTAGTATTAACAATATTGGTTAAAATAAAAAAAAAATTTACCTTTCATGAGAACGCTCATCTTCAGTTCGAGATGTAAGCTCTTCAGCTTCTTTTTCAAGACGTATCTTTTCATTATTTACTTCCATAACACATTGCAAGGCTGTTTTTTCACTTGCATGAATTTCATTTGTTAAATGAAATATATCAAAATGATCAGGAATGGGAAGTTCTCTATTTGCCAATGCTTCCATTAAAGTGGATTTACCTAAATATTATTATTGATAAAGTTATTTATTAAGATACTTTTATTACTATTATAATTTTTTTTAACTATTAAATAGTATAATTTTTACATAATTTTTTTAAATATTAAATTATATTTATTTTAACAAATAAAATTCAGTTATTAATTAAATTTGATTTAAATTTAATTGACAAATAATAATTTTTGTCACCACATTGCAGGCCTTGTGATGAATAAAAACTGCGCGGCGCATAAGTACAACGTGATTTTTGACGTCATTAAATTCTTTTTATTTGCTTTTCATATTTTTCGACATTAACTGCACCAATTTATTTAATTACCACAAAACTACTTTAAATCATTAATGTAGAAATGTTATTATTTAAAAATGTTGTGGTATGTTTCGTTTTTTAAAATGTAAAAACATTTGCTTATTTTCTCGACGTTTGACACGTTTTGTCTTTACTAAACGTATAAAAAACATAACTTAAATTTAAAAAAGATTATAAAATATGCTAATATTTGATTTTTTTTTTCATAAATATGTAATTTAAAGTTTTTCAAATAATTATTTTTTCTTTTTAAAAAGTCAGCGAGTAATAAACTGGATATTTTAATATTGTACGATTAAAAACTGTGCAATAGCTAATATTTTTACAAGCAATTTTATATAATATTTATTTATTTATTTTTATTTATTTTCATAAAGCGGTTGATAAGCACAATCACTCATATTAATAAAAAACTTAAACGAACGTTTTGAATAGATTTTTAATGTTAACAAGGAATTTTATTTCTAGTAAAATAAAATAAAATGTTAGAATAAAAATCTTATAGGTATAAAAGAAATATTTCAGCAAAAAAATTATTCTTAAAAATTATTGACGTTCTATTTTTCAACAGCTGTTCTTGAGCACGCTTCGTTGAGTTTCAGTAACTTTTAACATAAAAGCGATCATTATTATTTAAGTAATTTTTTTCGAGTTACTTTTTACAAAAATTTTAATAACAGTACTTTTTTATTGAATCAAGTAGAATACGTTTTAATATTAATCCTTTTTTTTTTTTTATTTGCGCTCACCAATTTTTAAAATGTTTCCTCGAAATTACTCTTAAATACTTTAAATACGCCTAACAGTTAATAAATATTTTTAAATCTATGGAATAATTTTAAAACCTAACAAACCCCAGTAAGATAATTATTTAAGTTTAAAATCTAAAACTAAAAGAAAGTATTTTTGTTCAATTTTATCGACAACTTTGCTATTGCTGAATTATTTTATTAAAATGTTAGCTTAAAAGATTTAAACTTTTTTTTTAATCTGAATTTTTTTTTCTACTTGTAAATAATGAGCATATTTAATTTTTTTTAATTCAAACTTTTATATCAACTGCGTGCGGTTTTTAAAATACATTATTAAATGTTAAAATAATCGTAAATTACATCATTAAAATTCCGCTCAAAAATATCTTTAAATATACTCAAACAAAAAAATTTTTGCTCGACGCAAATAGCCCTAGCTACACGCAAAATCGCTCTTGGACGACATAAAATTCACATCGCCTGACGCTTTATCGCAAGGCCTGACATAGTATACTAAGAATTAGCAAAGTTCAATCCCCGAAGTTGAATAATGCATAATCATTGAATTTCATAAATGAAGTTTAACTAATAGAACTATTTGTTTAACAATTAGTACTATTTGTTACACAAACATTAGGTCCTTATAAAACTCGGTCAATAAATATACTATTTACTATTTGTTTCACTATTCATTAAAAATCCAGTTTTAAGTTCAAAAATCTGGTTTTTGTTTTTTTAATGCTTTCCTTTAGACTTATTAGTGATTTGTGTAATTTTTTACAGACATTAAAATTTGAAACACAAATAACTCTTTTTGTGTATTATCTGCACAAAGGAATTTATGTGATAATGCAGGTAAAATCCATAGTCCTAAATGTAAAAATCAGATAATGCAAAATAAAACAAGAAATAGAATAGATTTTTAAATAAAGTGATATTTATTAGTTGTTTTTTCTTTTTGTTTTTATATTATTTTATGATCAAAACAAGGTGTCCCAAGTTTTTATTACTAAGGCAAGTGATTTTATATGTCTTGGTGACATATTAATCACTTGCTTATAAATATTACAATTATTTTTATTCACTTTTTTGGGTCAGGGTCACAACATCAGTTTTTGCCATGCCTGTCCAACAAAATCTGTAAATATAATGAGGTATAATAACATCTGTCCAACAACATCTAAAATTTTATTGATTTCTAATAACATCTGTCCAACATCTGAAATTTCATTGGTGTCTAATAACATCTGTGCAAAAATTAAATATTATGAATTTAGTTACATCTTTTAAATTATCAAAGTGTAATAACATCTGTGCTAGGATATATATAAGATAGGATACATATATAAGAAAAAAATATAGAAAAAATCAGTGTGGAATAAACTTGAAAAAGCCGGTATTTTTACGGATCAGATCAGCTAGTAATTATTACTGTTAATAATTATTAAAATTGAAATCTAACTTTTTTCAAGTTAATTAGCTTTTTACTTAACTTATCTTTTTAATTACCATTTTACTAAAAAATTCATTCACTTTGATCAGGCCTTGTTTTTAAATAAAAAAGTGCTTAACGCATTAGCTTAACGCGATATTTGACGTCATAAAATTATCTTTATTTTTTTTTATAGACGTTAAGTGTTTTAACTACCGCAATAAATAAATAACCGCTAACTAGTTCAATTTAACAATTAACTCAAATAACTATAAAAGTTTTAAATGTAAATTTATAATAAAAAGTTTGTTATCTTATTATTAATTTTAGTTCAATATTATTTAGTAAAAAATATATATATATATATTTTAATTATTTCTGAAATTTGTTTTTGAATAATTATTGTTTATAAATCGTTATTGAATAAAAAATAATGATTTTTTTTTATTTTTAAAAATTTCTGGAGTAAACAAAAAATATTAACATTGATAAACAAAAACCTATGTTAATTATTTAAACAGCGATTTTGTTTTGACTAAGAAAAAATATTTTTTTAAATTTACCTTGCTTAGCGTTTATATAAAAATATAAAAACGTTTTGTCTGCTTTTAGCATATTTTTAATACATAGTTTAGAACCCGTTCGCCAGGAATTTAATTTATAAATTTTTTATGTTATTGTAAAAATGTTTTACATTTTAAACAAATCACAAAGAAACAGAGCTATAGAGAAATATCATTTTTAACGATTAAATCTTTTTTTTTTTAATTTTAGGAAATTAAAAAAAAATTAAATTAAATATAAAAGTGTTAATTATGCAAACTCTTTTGTTAATTATTCTTAAAACAAAAAACAAATACTTCTCCTCAAAACTTTAATTGTTCAAACTTAAAAAAATACTTAACTAAAATAATATAAGTATATTTAATAATTTGAATCGTATCTGTTTATAATAAACGTTCGTAAAAATTTGTTTATTAAAAATTAAGTTACTTAACTTATAAACAAACTCAAAAGTATTTTCATTCTACGTATTAATTAGAAAAAAAAAAAGTTTTTTTTTCTTTGTTTGTAAGCAATTTAACTTAATAAAATAAAAAAAGAATAAATGTGAGGTAATCTTTGTTAAGAACAAATTTAATTTATTTATTAAACTATATTTTTATTTATATATCAACTTAAATTAAATATAGTAACATGTTAAAATATTTTAACATGACTTGTGTTATTTATAAACCGTAGGGCAGCTGCCCTAACGGCACAATTGTTTTAGGACTATATTTTATTTTGATGAAGATCACATAACTTACATTTGATTTTAATAACATAAGTCTTCTCTGTTTCTGTGATCATCGCATCGGCAAAGTCCCAAGATTTAAAAGTTTTTAAAGGCAATCTTTTGTCCTTCAAAATACAATCCATATTCGAACTTTAAACAATTTAGAGAGAATAGAAATATAAAAGGTTTTTATATACTAGTTTGTATTGTTTTATAAAGAAAAATACATATTCATTAATAAAAAATAGAGACTGTCATTAAACTAAAATGTGCCTTAATATTTATTTAACGGAATCTGTAGTGTGCGCGTGCATAATGAAACCTCCATTATATAAATATATTCAACGTAATATTAGTGTCATCAGCGGATGTTATAGTCTACTCGTGATTTCTTTACCTTATAATATAACTTGATCTATGAAAAAAATTTATTGAATCGCACGCAGAAGAAATTTAACAAATTGTCTTCATTCAAAAATTGCGAGTAACAGGTAATTTTTTTTTTCTGTGCTGGCCCCCTCCCCCTGCATAACTTAAAAGCAAAGGTATCTATATACCTTTAACTAATAAGAAAAGCAAAGAGTAATAATTAATGAAGTAATTTTTAGAAAAATACAAATAGATTGTTCATTCATTGGCACATTTTTTTAAATATCTTCAAAAAATGTCTTGATATTTTTGTTATCATGATAACAAAAATATTAAGACGTAAAAAAATGTCAACCCTTAATTACAAATTTTTTGCAAATGTTTTTTAATATGAATTTAGTAAAAAACTCTTAAAAAATTTATATTACAAAAAACATTTATATTCTGTATTAATAAGTTTGAAATATAGATTTTTTAAATGTTTTTTACTGAAAACTTTAAAAAGTTACTACTTTTTATTAAAAACATTTGCAAAAAATTGGTAGTTAAGGATTGACGAACAATTTTTCATGTTACTAAATATTTGAATAAAAAGTTAAGTGTAAAATTAAATGTTATAAAAACGTATGATATGTCGCGATAAAAAGTTACTTCAATTATTTTTAACGTAATTTTTTTTTCTAATAAATATTTTTACATATCGTTATTCAAAAGTTAATGTGGTTTTTTTAAAAATTAATTACTTCTTTTATGTTACCGCTAATTTAAAAGTTAAAAAATGATAAAAAGTAGCTTAACCAAAACAGCTCTACGCGTACGTAAAAATCTCTTAAGGCGTACGTAAATCGCTCTAGGCG